CTATTGGCTGAATTCATCTCTAAATAAAACCCATTTCAGTATCGTAATCTATAAAAATCTTTATCTATAAAGAGGCCCGGGAAATTGCTGTGAAATATGTGAAATTTTATTTAATTCGAAACATTGGGAATCTGTTGTTGTGGGAATCCAATGCGTTGGCCTTTTTTTACATGATGCATGATGCACAATTTGCCAAAAGGATTTTGTGTGCCATGCCCCAGGGCTGGACTGGGAAAATCCGCAGTGCATTCGCATATGAAATACCGACAAAATGTGTGCTCCACAACACCAACAAAAAAAAAAACATGCAGAAAATCAACTGAACAAACGAGTGAAATGCGGGAGAGGGGGAGAGCTGGGGTTGCCAGGAGCTGCAGCAGGACCTGGAGACAGACAACAGAGCGAACAATGAAATTTACAAATAAGTTAACAATTTGCTTTTTGGCCCTGATGGATGTTGCAGGGGCGGTGGCAGTGGCTGTGACAGTGGCATCGCATCACGACTACACCACTACCATGGGGACATGCCACATGGCGAGCTATGCCTCTGTGCGCGACATTTTGCCAGTGGAACGAGCGAACCAACGGTTGAACGGTGAAAGTTAAGCCAATCATCGCGCAACAATGTCGACAGCGACAGGCAGCAGGCAGCAGGCAGCATTTTTCGCTAACAGAGACATGAATTTCAATACAAATTCGTTTATCCGCCTCCGAGGCTCTCCCTTCCCCCCTCTGTACAGACACTCTGGGAAGAGAGTGCTGCTGGTAATCGCATCGATGGATGCGCTTATGCCACATGCAACCTTCCCCTCCTCATCACTGTATCTTTCTCTTTGGGGGGGGGAGTGGTAGCGATGGTAATCGCATCGATGATGATCGCTGGAATCGCACGGCGTCACAACGCGAATGCATTCAAAAATTTCACATGACAACTCGTTGCGATGATGTCCGTCCGTGTGGCACTGCGCCTACAGTGGCAGCTGCAGCTGAAAATCCCTCGTCTCGTCTCGTCTCGTTTCGCTTCGCTTTGGCCAATGCTAATTTTTGACGTTCTCCTGCAGGAAAGGTTCGTACATTCGTTCGTTCGTATGATCAGTGCCCTATATGGAGGGTACAGAATAATGCAATTGATTCCCGTAAGCCCATTGCCATTGCCATCAAACTTTTCTCCTCTTTGGATTTGGATTTTGGCTTTGAGTTTGGAATTTCTTGCGGTAATGGAATATATGTAAAATATATGTAAATCAGGTGATTTAACCGATCCAAACAGAGATGGAACGATGGATGGATCGGATCAATGGAATATGAGATTTCATTTGACAAAAAAATGTTTAATGGGTGAAGGGGGATTGGTTTTCAAAAGGATTTTTGGTGGAACTAATTTAAGATGATTCTCGGATTATTTTACTGCATTTTTAGAGTATGTTCCAGTAGTTGTTACCTTTTTGGAGAATGTATGATAATAATTTATTTTACATGTAATAAACTTACCTTTCTTTACACAGAACAGTTCTAGGCACTGCCTGAAAAGAAACGAAATCCGTTAATATTGTAAAAGTAAATTAATTCTTAAGTAACTAATTTATTAATTCATAAAACTCTTTTGCAAAGGGAATAGGCTACCTTTAATGTCTGTTTTTCTTGGGAAATATTATCTTTAAATATTTTTCCCACTTTGCTTATCCCCAAAAACCCCAGCAAGATCTTTCTTACAATTCTCAAGAATATTTACAAAACGCATAAATAACATACTTGCAGGCTCAACCATTCCTGTTCCCCGCGACTTGTGCGACGACTCGTCATAAATTTTAATACACATTTTGGTTTGCAAATTGCATCCGAAAGATGCAATTCGCGCTCCTTCCTTCTGCTGTTGCTGCTGCTGCTGCTGCTGCTGTTGCCGTTGTGTCCTTTTCCAGAAGCAGCAGCAAACAGCAGAAGGAGAAACAAACACTGACAACTGTGACGAGCAGAACGTCAACAATTTGATTGACTGGCTAAGTTCTCAGCCGATTTCCGACCATACATATCTCTCTCTCCCTGAGCCCTGCCGCAGAGCCCTTGCACACTCCACCTCCCACCCTCACGCACTGGGGCATAGAACGTAGCGGCACTGGCTGGAGCAGTGGCTGTGGCAGCAGCAAATTGCATAATTTTTACATAAATATGCTGACGTGCATTCATAATCATAAAAAAGGGTTAACATTCGCTCGTACGAGTGTATTCATCCACTCGTATTCGCATTCGCATCCATCCATCCATCCATCCATCCATCCATCCAGGCAGGCAGGCAGGGAGGCAGCTTTTGGCTTGCCTTTTCTTTTGTTGTACTCGCATTTCGCGTTTGGTCTGTTATTTATTTGGCCTCATGCCGCATGCCTCCGACTCCTGCTGCATATATTTTTTAATATGCAGCCTAATAGGCAATGCCACTGCCACTGTGGCAGGTCCCTCTCCTCCACTACTCTGCTCCACCAAATTGACAAAATGTATGCAAACAATGGTCGGGAGGGGGCAGCAGCGTAGTGCATAAAATATTTATGATGTTGGCAATATTTTCAGGTTCAATGATGGCCATGCCCCCCCCGCCAATGTGGCAGGGCATCTACATAGGGGTGTAGTATGTGGCATGATTCATGCGTTCAACAGACAGACAGAATTACGACTTTCGTCTGTCTTACAGGTGGATAAACATTGTCGAAACTGGGAACTAGTTTTCCGGCCATGGAATGACTTTAATCAGAAAAGTTTTAACCCTCGAACGTTCAACCATTCCCCTTCTGATTACCCTCACCCATTCGCATTCGCTTATCCATTCATGCCCCCATAGCGCACATGCCGCATGCCACACACATTCAGACAGTAAAAAGCAACGAGCTGTGAAAGTCAATTGCATGCAAAACTGTGCCATTGTCAGTGGCATTTGGCATCGAGCAATACTGCTCCTGCGACTCCTCCCGACTCCTGTGGCGCCTGAGCTCCTACTCCAGCCACTCCTCACCATCTGAATGCTCCCTCCTGCTGGTGCTGGTGCTGCTGCCTGCTGCTGAATGGTGATGGTAATGCTGCTGCTGCTGCTGCTGGTTGTCGAGGTCCTGCCCCTGACTCTGACTGTGTGACGACCTCCACAGCGGACAACAATGGTTGGGTGGGCTGACAAACAGGCTAGCACCACAAAATGGCCACCGCAACAACAGCAGCAGCAGCAGCAGCAGCAACGAACGCTTGACTATAAACGACATGCGGGTCAAAAGGACACCCACACACCGAGAGAGGGAGAGAGAGAAGGATCTCCTGATGCCTGGGAAAACCAATGAAGCCGCACTAAAGGAGATTCCTCCACACTCTGCCCTGGCCCTGGCCCTGCCCCTGCCACACCCTGACAAACAACAGCCTACACTCCTCACTTTGGGCCAACGATTCTTGGTAATAAATGGCAGTCATAATAACTGGGTTAAATGCTCCGACAGGGCCAGGCCAGGCGGCTGGCGACAGACGAGTGTTTGGTATGGGATGGACTGATTCTGGCAGTGGGTCTCTGTGTCAGTGGCAGGAACTGTGAAAGCCACAGAGAAAGAGATGGTGTGGTGCGGCATGTGTTGATTTGCTGTTGATTTTGTCTTGTGCCTCCGCTCGAAACTAATTACCGATAGTTCAAGGGTCAGCTTCAGCTCTGGAGACGAAGACACAGCGGCGAGGACTCGGCTCTCTTTAAACTGCAATTAAGTGGCATGCAGCAGCATTCCCTGTGGCGAATGAACTTTACACAGAGACTTTTTCAGACGATTATAAAGCAATCAAGTGACTTCGTTACCGTTTCCCCTCCCCATCCACACCCCACTCCCCTTTCGGGGACCTACATTTCCACATCATTTGCAAAATCATAATTCGCGTGTTAAGCGCGCATTAGTCTCACGTTGATTTATCACAGCAGCAGGTAAGAAAACAGAGTACAGAGACAGACCACAGAACGGGAACGGGAACGAGAACGACAACTGAGCAGCGCCAAACGGCAAACAGAAACTGGGTCTGGGTCTGGGTCTGGGTCTCTGCGTTTGCCTCTCTGGGATTTGGATCTCTGGCCGCCAATCTCTGGGTCCTTGCTCCACCTCGCATCTCTTGCGAGAGGCAATTGAGTGGCTGCTGCTTCATGGAGCAACATCTCATGCTGCACGCTGTTTTAATAACCGAATTTCGCGGCTAATTTTTGTGTGTGCTGAAAAGTTCAATTGTGGCATACACCAGGGGCGGACGCTGTGTGGGTGCGGCTTGGAGGATGATTGCTCTTGAGAAATTCTCAGCTTTCGGGAGCAGCTTTAGACCTGCTTAAGATCTTTCAAGCTTAAAAGTTAAGATTAAGATTAAGTAAACTAAAATGCAATAGGATTAAACGATTTTAGAGCATTTTTTCAGAAAGAATTGGAAATGAAAATCAAAGAAATATCATACTTAGTGGTGCTGCTAGTAAAAATAACACAAAAACTTTGAATTACATTGAGGGAAGAGGTTCAAAGTTGCATTCCACTCCCAAAGCTATTACATTTTCACACTTCCAGAGCTAATTTTCCACACCATTTGGCACCAAAAGTATGCTACAATCTCTGGGGAAAGTATTCCAATCCCCTTTCAAAGTATTTACCCCTCCAGCATGGAGCTACACCCATGTGCTCTGTAATTCTACTAACAGCTGGAAATTCGTTAAGCCAGCGGCTTATATTTTTGGGCCAAAAGAAAGACTCCGAGAGAGCGGTAGAGTGCCTTGCTGCTGGCTCCAAAGTGGAGCAAATTTATGCCCAATTTCATGCGAATGGCAAATGATTTATGCGACAGGCAGGCAGTGAGGCAGACAGGCAGAGAGTCGCGCGCATTGGCATTGCAATTGCCAAAAAGGATATATGCGTTGATTTCACATGGCCGCAGGACAAATAACTTCATTACGTTTCACGGCATCGATGGTTGGGAGCAGAGGTAACAGACGATTCCCCTCTTTTGGTAATGATGTTTTTGTTTCTTCTGGGCGAGAAGAGGTGCTGCTGCTTTGCCTGGAATTGTAGGGATTGTGATTTGGATTTGGATCTGACGCTGGGATTGGGATTGGGATTTGGTACTGGGATTGGAATTGGCTTTTTGGGTATGAGAGGATGAGAGGATGGGTATTGGTGGTGGATTGTAAAATATATGCAAGGCAAATCGCACGATTCTCGTGATGTTGCTCATATTTGGGCACCGTAACAAGCGAGGCAACACGCGACAACACAGCAACACAGCAACACAGCAACACAGCAAACACAAACAACAACAAACATTTCTCGAAGCGAGAAAATCACATTCTACTTATGGCGTGAATTTCGCGGTCGTCTTTTCTTTTTCCTTGCTGTGGCATTGGAGGCACTTGGCGCAACCAGATAAATTCGATTTGGGATTCCCAAATCCCCAAATTCAAATTTAAATGCACCTTGGTGCGGGCGGGCCATGCGGGAATGGCCAGGAAGTCACGGCATTTGAACCATTTGTTCCACACAAATCTCCATACAGCCAGAGAAAGAGACACCGTTAGCAACATGATTCGACACACACACACACACACACACACACACACACACACCTACCATATATGACCGTGTCTGTGCGCATATGACAAGGTCCCCCATTAGGCGGCTGTGCAACAGTGCTGCATGTTAATTTTGCCCAGTGCAAATGCAAATGCAAAAAATATGTTAATAAATAATTGGCAGCACGAGCAATGCCCTTCACCGCCATGGAATTTTTCCAATTGCAATTGCAACTGCAACTGCAACAGAGAGCAGCAGCCAGCCAGCCAGCCAGCCAGCGGCATCTGCATCTGTGACCTGCATTTTGGCAGCATCCCTGCCGCCGCTGCCACTGCCGCTGGTTGCTGCTTTTGGCCATAAAACAACTTCGGCTGTCGGCTTATGGGATTTCCAATGACAGCAACGCGAAGCCGCAGTCAAAATGTCCTTAAATGCCATGCATTTCCTTTGCTGCGGCACCAACCTTCGTTTGTACGTGTTACCCTTTTACAGTGGGGGTATAATAGGTTTAAGCAAATGTTTGCATCTACGGAGGGAGAGCGAAGAAATCTGCTGCCCATTTGCTTTAAATATTCTTCGAACTTGGACAAAACCCGATGTTAATGGGCGGACTTTTACCATCCGAAACAATTGTTCTTTCTGCATTTTTCTTTTAACAAACTCTTGGACATTCCTAAAGTGTTCGCTTTCAAGGGTACCTTCTGCTTCGACACACAAAATCTAGCCTTTCCTCTGCAAATTTTTATCTTCTTTTATATTTGTTGTTGGCATCTGCCTCTCTGCGGTTATGCCCCTGCAATCTGTTGCAGCTCTCGCAACTTATTTCTTTCTTTTTTGCTCGCACTTAATTAAGACGACAAGTGAACGACCTCGGCTGTCAAAAGGGTCTCGCGGGGTCCTGGCGCATCAGCGCATCTTAAATATGAATTATGGCCAGAAAGCGCAGCTAAAGATGCGCCCCCAGATGCAATCGTTCGGGATAAGATACAATTAGGTGTGCAAGCAAGAGCAGCAAGTGAATCCCCCCCAAACACCCATTCTGATGAAGGGGCAAACATTTATTAGCTCCATTAAATAGCAATCGCTTGAGTCACGCTAATCAACTTCGCTGCCATCCGCTTCGCTTCGTTCGCTATTGGATGATTCGCAATCCATTAAAAAAATAAAAAGATGTCCTCATAAAAAGGCAAACAAATCTTTTTGGGGAGAGGCAGCCACAAATCGAAACGAAACGATCTTCGAATAAATAAAGAATATATATTTTTGCGTATTAATAAACACAAGAGGAAGAAGGCCAACAGCACCCAACGATTGCACTTCACACCTCATTGAGATTGGCTATAAAGATGGCTTAATAACTCACAAGGAAAGAGCGGTGAAGATGCTCCACTCTACATCGAATGCTGCTCCTGTCCCTCCTCCCAATCTCTCTCTCTCTTTGGTGGTTTGCCTGTCAGTATCGTTTATGACTTCCCATATTTAATTCTTGGGATCCCGCGTTGCGTCTGCTGGTCGATGGCTGCCTCTCCTCGCCCCCTGCTCCAATTGAAGCGCGTTTTTCGATAAGGGGCCACAAAATTCATAAATATGAAAATGGCTTCATTTCGTGCACGACTGGAGCGGAGCGCAGGCTGGCTCTGGGTCTCGCCCTTCGTATCGCTTAAATTAAAACTTAAATTTCAACACTCGCAGAACAGAGCAGTGGAGCAGCTACGACGATACGGGGGCCATATATTTTACGGGCCAAAAGCAAACAACAAGGCAGTGGCAGTGGAGCACAAAGATACAGCAACAGCAACAGCTAAAGTCTTCAGCCTTCAACTTCAGTGGCAAGCGAACAAGCTAGCGAGTAGCCCCGACAATGGGAAAGGCGTTGCAGTTTTATCTGACAAATGCTCGTATATTGTATCTCGAAAGTTTACTGTTTCTTCTGCTGCTGCTCGGAAGCCCCCAAAACGTAACGAAAAACTGACCCTCACATTCATTTATCATCAAATGCTGCAGCCAGACACGAGAATGTGTCGCAGCCGCAGCCGCAGCAGCAACAGGAGAGCGGGAAAAAGTACTGCCACACCTTCAACTGATGCTGCTGCCCCAAAGCAGCAATGATCGTTGCTTCCTCTGGAGCCCTGGACCCGGGGCCCGATCAACGGACATCGCGTCGTCTTCTACTTCATCATCATCATCATCTATGTGCAACGCGCGTAGTCACGGGGCTGACATTTTTGAGTCGCCATCATCGTCATCGTCGGGCTGCTGCTGCTGCTGCTGCTGCTGCTGCTGGTTGCTGGTTGTTCCTGCAGCTCCCGAGGTTTTACTCTGCTGGTCGGTCTATGCCTTGCCCCCAAACCGGGCACAGAGAAGGTAGCAAAAAAGGTAGCCGCAACAACAAACAGAGTGCCTTCGCGATGATTAATTGACTTTCAAAATTGCTGAAATTTTTAATTTATTATACGCGCCAAAGTGATTAATCAGTAGGAAAAAATAAACAGCAGTGCGCTGCCTGCAGAAGAGTGAAGGGCCACAGCGCCAGAGAAAGAGGAGAGAGAGGCAGACGAGTGAGTGGCCGGCGGTAGCCCCCAGAAAATCTTCGAGACTGAAAGTGCTGCACCCAAGGGGCCGGGGGCATGGGCGGAACCAGCAGACAACCGACAGACAGACAATCACAAAAACAGCACTCGCGAGTGTCGCTACCAATCCTTTGAGCTGCTCGTCGGTCAGCCAGCGCGCGGACAGCACAAGGAGAGTCGTTTAAGGCTTTTAATTGCCAACAATGTGGCAATGTTAGCTGTGGCTTTGCCCTCTCTAAACCAGAGCTTGGCTTATGGCACTAAATGAAAACAGGAGAAATGTGAGCCTGGGGGATGCCACTTCCATTGTTTGCTCTAGAAAGTTATGGATGCTGCGATTTAATCTCTCTAGAACGAATTATGTTGAACGTCGCTCCACAAATGTTATACCACAGCTCTGCTTCACCTGCGAAATTTCAAAGAGACTTATGGCACGTATGGGAAATTCAGATGATAAAAACTGAAGTAAAAGATAATTTTATACTTCAAGAAAAAATGCTATAAAAACTCATCGGTGATTCCTTGGGTTTGCACTTTTAATCGACAATTAAGATCAAGGAAAAAATATATACCTCTTTATGGATCACTTAAAACCATTTAACACTATATTTATCCATGAATAAGTGAGTATATTTATATAATGATCCATTTAAAAGAATTATCTAAAATGAGACGCTTCCTAATGCCTTTCTGTTCTCCTTCAGCTACCTAATGAGCAACCTGCTTAATGGCCATATAGTGAGCGTTCCATATAATTGACAAATTAGCTTTCCACTTGTAAACAAAAAAAATGGAAACACTCTCGTGCATACACCTCATAATTAGGTGGCCTTCTTTCTGCCTACCGAATGGCGATTGCAGCTGCAGCTGCTAATTTATGCCGATGGAAAGCAGACGCAGACTTGTGGCCAATGGAGGAGGCCGAGATGCAAAAGAAGGATGATTCCAGCACAGCAAGGACGAGCGCCAAAGGACAGTCGAGTCGACTGGCACTGGCACTGGCGAGTGGCGAGGGGCTAGTGGCGGAGGCCACTTATGAAAATTGGATTTTTACACTCCATTCTTGATGGAATGTTTATTGAGCTGTCATGTTGCCTGTTGTCTGTGGCAACCTCCCCTCGGCAGCAAGGAGAGGCACCGCTCCTTGGCTCCACCCTGGTTTCTCAATAATTTAAATATCAAAATTGTTAGCAATTTGCACGCCCCGCCAGCAGCAGCAGCAGCAGCAGCAAGAGCAAAACGAGCAGCGCGCGGCAGCCACAGACAGCGGCTAACAACAGCAACAATTGCTAATCAAATTAAGCAATTATCTTGTTACGAGCCAAAGAACGAGGACTCCAAAGAGTCTTCATCTCAGAGGCACATCAAGTGCCTCGATTGACCAACAAAAGGGCCAACAGGCGAGCCCAGCCCCTTCTTGAGGCTGCATGTGGCATGGCTGCATGGTGCAGCACAAGCAGCATTTCATCATTGCCAATCAAAATATATAAAAATAGCTCACACCTTTCGGGGTGCCTGGCTCTGGCCATGCCTCACCCTGGGATTCATCTTCGTCTGCCGCTGCCTCTGGAATAGGCGTTGCATTGGGGCGGTGAGAAAGCAGCACCACAGTGCATCAGAGAGCCACAGATCCACAAAGCGCTACAACAAATGCAAAGTGCACAAAGCCCGCAGAGTTTATAAAGTCATAATAATGCCAGGGAATACGCTTAAAATGCAATTTATCGCCACAGCAACAGAGCAACGGAGCAACAGTCCTGCTGTCCTGTTGCTGCTGCTGCTGCTGCTGCAACAACAAAAAATTGATGACGACGACAGCGGCAGCAGCAACAACAGGCAACAGGCAACAAGTTGTCCAACAAACTGACACGGGCATCAGCGTCAGTCATTTTAGTCAACTGGCGAGCGGTTCCAGGTCCCAGGCCCCAGGTGGAGGCCACGCGCTAGCGAGGAGAGCACGTTACCATAGGAATCAGTCGTGACACGATGCACAATTACCATTCTACTTTACAAAACATTACGAAAACAGAGGCTTATACTTTGGCTCATAGTTATTGTGATTTTTCCAATTTGTTGTTTAAAAATATTCCCCGATTCTGATGATATTTCCTGCGTTAGTTGGTAGTACAATTAGTACAAAATTCTATAAAATTAGACCATAATTTTGCATAAATTCTCCAGACCTTGCTTCGCTGTTTGCTCATTAAACTCCCCTTCCCGATCGTGTTCAACTCTGATCACCGTGCACTCTCCTCTCTATGTGTGCGATGCTTAAGCGCTGGACAACTTTTGGCTTTCCTGCGGCGTTTTAGTCGGACGCTTCGACCGAATATTGTTGTTGCTGTTATTTCTGGGGGAATGGCCAGGCAAAAATTAAGACATTTTATAAATTGCGAGTTGTTTGCCGCCGCCTCTTTGGTTACGGCGGCACAGTGAGAGAGGGAAAAACGGAGGGGGGAGGCTCAAACCCTTAACGTGTTGCGCATTGCATTGCGATTCGTTATGGCCCGAACTGAGCGAAACATTGGGCTCCATCAGAGAGCAGGGCACAGAGAGAGAGAAAGGGAGGTGCAACGGGAACATTCATTGCCATTTCGTACTGATCATCAGCGAAACATCATCATCATCATGTGGCAGCAGCAGAGGCCATCAGATCTAGAGAGACTCTTCATTTGATTGCCCCAAAAGCGAAACGAACTGAAGCCTTGTTGCAACATTTGAATGTTGCCAGCCACATGTTGCCGCCACCACACAGCTCCGGTTGACGTGCGTCAAATGTTGTGTTGCCAGCCACTCCCCTTGGTTCCCTTTGGGCGCTCTGACCGCTAAACTAAAATTTTGTTTACGATCATCTATTGAGATTTTCGTTGCTGCCGCCACGCCACACCCCCCCCCTCAGAGTCACAGCTAAAACGCCCCAAAACGGCCGCCGCCCATTGTGGCAAGATCTGTTGGTTGGTTGTTGCCTGGCCTTTTTGGTTGTTGTCTAACGCATGTCAATGTGGAGGCAACTTTCGGGCCTACTCCACCTTCTCCCAAGCCAGAGCAGAGTAGGAGCTCTCCTTGTGGCAAATTTTCATTCCCCATGTTGCATGCCACATCGCACAGAGTGGAACCTGGGTGTGTTCCTCACTTATCTCTTGCTCATATTTATGTTAATGTGCGTCTGTCTGTGTGTGCATCTGTGTGCACCGCGAACATCAAAAGCAACGGTGCAAAGCACAGCGCAAAAGCTCTGAAAATATGCTAACGGTTTGGTTATGGGTTTGGGTTTGGGTTTGGGTTCCAGTTTTGTTGCAATTGAAGTTCTCGAAAAAGAATGAAGATTATGAGTCCACATTTCGACTGATATGATACCCCGTTGCTAATCGGAAATCGAAAAAATCTAAGAAAGTAAAGGGGAAAATATCGATCATAGAAATTCGATTCGATTTCCCCTACTTAAGCTGATGGTTCGATGGATTCTTTGTGGGACTAGTAGATAAAACATTTGACTATATATTGACTGCAATGCCACAAGAAATCTGTAGAGTAATATAGTGGTAGAGTAGGGGACCTGCAAGAATGATATTGTAAAAGTCCGTTAAAAGTCAATTCTTATCTGAGAGACATACGAAACACTGATTTCAGACATATCTGTTGCATTTTTTGAAACTTTTTTACAACTAACTTAATGCTCAAAAGTAGACAGTTTGCAAGATCATCTAGAACCCAATAGATATCCCTTCTTGAGATATATTTTGTCTTCCCTGTCACACACCTCATCTCAAACACAACATACCCTCGCACTCCACACAACCCTAGGTATAATATAAACCGTCGTCCGAGACAAGTCCACAAGGAAAGTGTCTTACTGGAAAATTTATGTTTCCTTTGTCTTCAGTTTTTGGCTGTGTATTCCTTAGGGTTTAATTAATACGACTACGTGTAGTTCTTGAAAATCACCTCTGAAAGCAAGATACTCTGAGAGAGAGAGAGAGAAAGAGCCAATGGGGCTATTTAGGTCATGGGCGTTGTGGGCCAAGGGGCCAAGGGGCGTGCCCATGCGCCCATGCGGATCCAAAGTGCAGAGTCATTAGCCCCGAAAAAGTGCCAAAAGAGAGGAGTTTCCCTCAGCGAATATTTCCATTGATCGCTTGGATAGGCGTCGGAATTCTCTCAGCTGGAGATATGATGGAACGGACACACCCTATAGATAGGATGTAGCTCACATCTTCTACTCTTCGATCTAGTCTTGGATCTTTCGGGCCCCTCTAATATTTCAAAGCCAAAATTCTATTTAATTTCAATTTCTCTTTGGGCTGGAGACCCGAGAGATCATCCATCAGGCGTTCGTTCTGGCAGCAGTAGCTGGATCAGCAGGAGCAGCAGCAGCAAAAGGTTCTCCAATTTCAGTTGCCACTAATCACACACAAATCTCGATTGCACTGCCACTGCCACAAATATTGGCTGCTACCACAAGCTGTTGCAGACTCTGCGAAGCATGTACTTAAATTTGATATTTTAATAAATGAAAGCGCATTGAAACTAATGCTGCAAGTACACCACCACAACCACCCGCCAGCCAACACGTTGCAGAGAGTGACTCTCGGGACAGGGCAGAGGAGGGAGATGCCATGCCTGCCATCTGATATCAATTTGAAATATTCTCAATGGCAGCAAGCGACAAGAACTTCTGTTTTTGGCGTGTTGCAAGTAGGGTTCCATGCAACGCATGATTGCCCCCAAACAGCAGCAGCAGCAGCCCAGAGAGCCGCTCGTAATGAGCGCGTTTGCTGCCCACCAGAACACCGCTGAGGCGGTGGGCAACTCGAATCTCCATCTCCATTCCACTGCACTCCAAGATGCTGTTGCTGCTTCGGCTGACTGGCCACAAGATGTGGCAGTGGCAGTGGCAGTGCTCTGCCTGCCTGCCTGCCTGCCTGCCTGCCAGCCTACCTACCGCTACGATCAGCGATAGCTTTCGGCTGCTGCTCGAGAAATGGTTTTGAATTTTCCGTTTCGTCTAGTGTTTGATTCTTATTAAAAGATTGCCGCGAAAGCATCTTATGGAGTACAAGCAAACGCGCAGTTGCAAATTGCAACTGTCGCTTGCCCCGCTGCCACAACAGAGAGGAGCAGTCAGTATCCGAAATAAACCCAACCCAAAATCACACTACCCATTCAAACATCTCCACCGAGGAGACGACGATGATGATGATGATACACACAGGTGGGCGCAGGGAAATAGAGAGGAGTCGTGTTGTTGCCACCAAACCCCTCTCTCTCGTTGCATACAATTAGCCTACAACACAGTTTTCGAGAGCCCCGCAAAATGCTCATGTAATTTATTTAAAATCTCGCGTTCTCTCTCTGTCGTTGGGGCATCTGCATTTGAATTGAAATTTCTGGTTTATGAACCATAAACTTAATCAGAGGCAAATAATCAGCGAAAAGCAAACAAGAGTCAAAGCCAAGAGTCAAAGGCAAAAGGAGCCAGAGAGACAGAGTGAAGATCTGGCAGCAGCAACAGCAGTGGTGGGGCAGAGTCAGTGAAGATGTGGCAAGCAAAAGAGCAACTCAAACGAAGGCTTGGCTCTGGCTCTGCCATTGAATAAATCTAAAGGCCAAGAGGATGCAGAGCAGCAGGCCACTTGGCACTTGGCATTGGCCAAAAGTCACACAAAAAAAAAAAAAAAAAAAAACTTAAAGTAAAGATAAAAGCACAGAGAAAAGAAGCGTAAAAAAATCTACCAAAAAAGAAAGCCAAGGATGATGCCCCGAAAGTGTTGCCTCAACTTAAGGCCAATCTGCATTTGTAGTGCTGCAGCAGGAGGATGGGTTGGGTTCAAAGGATTGATTCAAGGTGAAAATGCATCCACTTTGGCAGTGATTTTCCAGAGCTCTTCTTTGGTTTATCAAATTCTAAATTCAAGTGGCACTTAGGACTCCATTTCGTTCGCTCTTTCTGAACTTTCTCTGGAATTCCATCTGTATCTCTCTCTCTCTCTCTCACTGCTTCTGCTGATTCCCTGTATCTGGTTTCCCTGCCATTGCCTATTGCTCTTCCTCCTTCTCCTCTACTTTGACTGTTAAACTATTTATTCGTTCTAACAGTTTTGCAAATTGCTTCTCATGTGGGTTGAACTTTTAATAACAAGGCAGGCGGCAGGGCAGCCAAAGAGCCAAGAGAAATCTCAGCAATTTATATGTATGTGGCAACATCCAAGGCAGGGGCCCATTTCATGAATGGGTTTTCCTTTTCGGTGCCTATGGCCTAAGCCTATGCCTGGGCGATGCCCCAAATTGTGTGTTCCGCAAACGAACGAAACTCACAGCAATTGCAATTACTTATCACAGTATGCTGCTGCCAGGAGAGTCTCCTCTCCACTCAGAGATGACCATCGAAATTACTTCACAGTTCGTTCTGCAGAGTCCATTCCATGGCAGTGCTCTTGGAGGTGGACGCGAACCGTAGTAGTAGTATGCAAATGTCTAGTGTATGCTGGACACGACTATTACCTGTCACATTGTCAGGTGATTGCGAAATTGTTGCGTTACGCCAGCGCCCAAGTCGAAGCCCTCTGTGCGCGGCCTTAAATTTGTGGGAAACATCAACTGAGAGAGCAGCCAGCGAGCAGGCCAGCGCTCTATGTGTCCTACACTAAGTGCCCGGGCACCCCATTGATGGGCTTGGGCTGCTCCTCAGTGGAAACGTGACTCGAACGTGACGTTTGTGTGCAAACAGGAAGATTCCACCGCCAACTGACGGTTCAGCAGACAGACCCACAGACAGACAGTCGTTCGGCAACAGTTGGCGCTCTCTCTTCAAGGTAGAGAGATAGAGCGGGTGTGGGGGGGAAACCCAACAGAGACAGACAGAGAGTTAATACAGTTCGGCGCGAGTTTAAGTCGAAGTCGGAGCAAGAGTTGACTTGATTGCCGGCGTTCCAAACGACGTTGGTGGTTGGGCTTGATGGTCAAAGGCAACAGCAACAGCAACAGCAAGAGCAAAATGAAACCCAAAGCCAAAGCTAAAGCCCAACTTAAAACCCAAAAACGGTACTCGCAAAATTACTTAAACTGCTGCTGCTGCCTCGCTTGGCTTGCCATTTGCCTTGACTTTGAATGCGTTGAACTTTTTGTTTGCATAAACTTCTGGGGCCGCAGTGTGCACTCAGTCCTCCCCAGTCCCAACGAACTTCATCTGCCATCACTGAGCCGAGTCGTAGGAAGGCGGTTCCCTTTTCTGCTGCTCTCCTGGTCTGCTTTTTATCAGCACTCACATCATATTTACAATATGGAAATCATTTGCATTGTAATAATTTACAATTTTCTCTGGGGTTTTTCTGCATGTGCGTAGGTTGAAAGAGAGATATGCACAGCAAGCGAGAGAGGTAGAAGGAAGATCAACCGTAGAGAGAGGAGTAGGCAGAGGTAGAGGTAGATCCCAGGGCAGAGGTAGATCCATGTCCAACAACAGACTTGTAATTGATGAAAGCCTCAGCGCAATCGCTATTAATGTCATCGATAACATTTCGATTCGTCCTCTCTTCTCTTCTCTTTCCTCTCCTCTACAATTCTGTTCTTTTCTGTTGAGTTCTTGGCCCTCTGCTCGTCCGTTAGCTGTGGTTCTTGGTCTAGGGAGGTCTCTGGCTGGGCATTGTAATGTTTTGGCAGACAGAAAGACTTACAAGCCTCGTCGTAAACGTCGGACCCAAACACACAAATCAAAACATGTCACAAACAGTTGCTACGCCTCTTGAAAATTCCTGGAAACTCAAGAGGAATTACTATTTGCCATTGTAGAGCATTTACTTCCTGGTGTTCCACTGGCGCGGGGAATGGATTTTCAGTGGTTTCCTAATTTATGGGATTCGTCAAAAGAATTCAAATATTTTACGTAAAAGTTCTCTGTGGCTAGACAAATTTTATGCACTAATCACAGTGCTAGTAAGTGTACTAATAGATGCCGAAATCGATCGAAATTTATTTTTAACGTAGATCTCACATAAATCTAAATTTTACCACCAGAATTTTTCCGTATCCAATCCAAATACGAAGAAACTCTGACATAAACCGTGGGTTGATTGATTCGGCAAGGCTCAATGACACTATGGGAGGTAATTCCCAAAAGAATAAAATCCTTTCCTTCCTTGAGAGCCAAAGGTCCTCCAGAATCTCCTATGCAAGGTACATTTACGCTGGGAGCAATGCACATGAAGGACACTGGGAACATGTATTCCCGTTTTAACCACTGTTCGTAGCATTCCTCATTCGATATGATGTTGATTTCAAAATATTTTAAATTATGCGGCAAGATTTTCGAATTTCCTGAAACTATAACGAACTCAGAGATAAGTCATATTTATCTGCTGGAAAAATCGAAGAATTTAATGTACCTTTAGATGCACCCCATCCCGAAACAATGGCTTTTGCATGCACATAATTATTGGTGGGTTGTGGCAGCTTTGCGGGTCGAATATATTCATTAAAAGGCACATTAATGGGTAGTTTAATGATTGCAATATCATTGTAAAAAGGTTTTTGATAATTGAATTGCTGATGGATCACCACACTCTTTCGATCCACAATTAAACGCTGTTGACCCTCTTCGGTGGCATTTGATTTGTTCACAGCTCCAAAGTAAATTCTCAAGGCAATTCTTTTGAAATCAAATCAAAAATTAAATGCATTTAGAGGTTATCTAATTATGATCTTACATGTAGGGATCATCCTCGAAACAGTGAGCTGCTGTGAGTATAATTTTACTGGATATTATGGTGCCTCCACACTGGGGTCTCCAGAAACTGGTCCAACTATAGTCTCCTAGGTAAAAAGTATCATAAAACACTTGATGGGGCAACTGCATAGCGGTGGCATTGCTGCCATTTATGATGCGTGGAATAATACTTCCATTCAAGAACTTCAAGAAAAATACACAGCAAATGAACACCAAAACGATCGGGCCTTCCATGTTGGCCGAAAACTGATTCAAGTAATCGTTAACCTAGGAATATATATAGGAGAAAAAGTCCCTCCAGCAGAAAAGATAACAGTTTTCAGCACTCGAATGATTTGTGGAGTGCAAAGAATTTATTTTAATTTTAAACATTGTTGCACAAATTCTACAAAATATTATTAGACACTGAAAACATTTCTCTGTCATTCTGCGCCTAAGTTTTTCTACTTTTCGGTCCCCACACATCAAAAGGCTGGACATTTTAAGCTCATATGCATCATCGATTCTTCAGCAAAACTGTAATCCAATGCCCAAACAAACAACGAACAATCCCTCGTAAAAAAAGCAATCAACAGATGTATGTCCTGGATTCCGAGAGAGAGAGCAACGCCTTAAATCATTTTAAGCAAACACTTGGAGAGCCCCGCCACATCCACGCCCATTGTATAAACAGCAGAAGAATAAAGAATAATCCCAAGGAAGCCCTGAAGAATGGGGATCTCTTATCAAAAGAAAGCTTATTAATAACTCATATACATAAAGCACACACACACACACACACAGAGATCTGAGGAGTATCCACTGGAATATAATCACTAAATCACAAGAAAAAAGCAACTCGCTCCCCCACCACACTGCCCTGCCTGACATGAGAAATGTGAAAATTGAAAAACGTTTCAGCACTGAGAGAAAAGAGCAACCCAGAAGGGCGCGCGCGAGTGCAAATTCCAAGAAATCCCAAAAAAAAAAACAGCTCCATCTCACCTCTCCCCCTGGAACCATACAAAAATCCCGAAGCAAAAATCTGAACAGCAGAAAGACGCCCAAAGCGCGATACTCAACACTTTGGACAAGTTCTTGACACCGCGCAATGGACGACCGACCGACCGAGCGACCGACCGACTGATGTCCGAACAGAAGAAGAACCCGTTGAAGAGAGGTGGGGTTTGTGGCATGCAGCAAGGGAAGCGCATCTCTTGAAAAGGGAAAATATTGTATTTTTTATTGGCCATTTCAATTATCTTAATGCACTTTAATATGCCATATGCGAGGGCACCTTTTACGCTTTTACCGTTGCCAGAGACTCTCCTCTCGATGCCCCTTCTCCTTTATGCCTTCCTTCGAGTGTTGTGATTATCAGCTAATAAGGCATCAATAAATTTTGGTAAGCAGCAGCAGCGGCAGCAGGAGCTGCAGCAGCCAACACAGCCACGGGGCCAAACAGACACATGGCCCCGAAAAAATGCCAGAGAGAGATCACTGCCTCGAGATGATGCCGCAGATTGAGGCACACAGATTGCAATTAATTTGCAATAACTTTTGATAAATGTTGCACTGAAGATTCTGCCGTTTGTTTGTGTGTCTGTGTGCTGCCCTGAGAGTGGTTTTAACGTCACACGATAACGAGTTGACGCGATTAAGTGCCACAGATAATAGCAGAAAGTTGGAAGATACATGCATACATGCAAGCATATTTATTTGTGATCATCACAGAGCCAGAGTTACTGAGACATGACTCCATTTCTCCCAGAGTTACAGCTATCCTCCGTGTGGAGATGCTCTTTAATGGCTTCTCAACAGCCAAAAATAAAACCTTCTTAATCATCCCACAGATACAGATGTGCATTGTGTATCTCTTCTCCGAATCCCAAAGATATACTCCTCTCGGGAGGGCCACAGATATCCCTTTCTTCACCTCTCAGCACAAAGAACTCCCGTTAACCCACAAGCAAAATCCTTGAGTGAAATCGAATGTATGCCCATTGCCAAGCCAAAGGGTATTCCCATCAAACTCTCCAACCGCTCTTCCGTTTATTGATTTCTCTTGGAAAAAATCGTTTTATTACAAGCATTTTTCCATCAAATTTGATGTCCAACTCAGAGAGCAGCAGAACTAAAAAGCGAACCCTGAGCAAGGGGGCCAAAAAGAGTGCAAAGAAATCCACGCATAGGAGGCAGGGGGGAAAAAGAGGTGAAAATAGCGGCAAATAGTGGCTCCAAAGAATGCCTAACCGAAACGATCGAATGTGTAAAAGTCTCGCATGCGACAAATTTGCCAATGCATTTCCCGCTGGCGATTCTTTGATGGAGAAGGAATGCTTTATTGAGGCAGAGGGGGGCAATGGTAAATGGGAATTGGGAATGGTCGGTCGAATGTCGAATGTCTCCTGTCGGCAGGCAGGCAGGCAGGCAGGCAGCAGGCAAGTATTTGAAATATTTTATCAATGAGCGAAAAGTTAATAAAAAATAATTAATTTAAGCGAATTTCTGCAGAGAGTGAGAACACAGGGCGGGGCTGTAGCTGTGGCTGTGGCAGTGTCTGTGGCAACATATGGGAAGTCCATGCAATACGCTGCAAGCGCATTTAAATTGAATAAAACGTTGAAATGCTGCAGAGACGACGCGCCACCGCAAACCCAACGTACGGGGGATAGGCTGCAATGTTGATGACAACGTTGTTGCAAGCGCACAGGCGCAACGGTTGAACGTTGCAACTGCCTATTGCCGCTGCCGTTATGCGCTTAACATCTTGGCATCCAATCAATTAGTTTTTATGCGCTTCCATTGCCTGCTGCCTGCTGCCTACTGCCTGCATGCTGCCTGGGCCAAGCCCCTCTCTTTCTCTTCTTCGCTTTGGGCAGGGGCAGGGGCAGGGGCAGTGGCAGGGGTCTGGCTGAAAGCCAAGTCGTCAGTCGTCGTGTCAGCAACAAATTGGCGAAGGGACCAGGGACCATGCGCAACAACGATGACAACTTTCGTTGCAGCTGCAGGCCGCTGAAAAACCAACACACCAATCCCCACACCACAACACACCACACCACAAAAAACTATATGAAACTGTATTTCTTAAAAAGATACAATATCTTGAATGCAAAAAGTAGTGAAAGAAAGGAAGCACCTAGCAGGCCTTGAGACTAGCAGTTACCCTACGTTAGTCCGGGTCTAAGGAACCTTAAACCTGTCAGTTTTAAGAGTAATGTTATTCCTTATTCGAAACTCAGAAATATAGCTAAGATTAAGAAGCGACGAGATCCTTGCTGGCCACGGTCGTTCTTTACGGTAAGGATCCCTCATGGATTTGGATGCCACATTTGTGCAAAGAAGTCTCTCCCCACACTCTCCCAAAAAAAACACCTACAAAGTGGAGACAAAATGTAAGTTGCACTGGAAGCGGGGTCTCTTCTTCGGAGGTTTTAATTATAATTAAATATATCAAGCAGAGGAAAGCAGTCTACGAGTCATTCCGGCTTTCCCGCTCTTCCCTCGGTTGAATCTACAACTTAATAACCCCAATGAGCCACTTTCGTTGCTTTCGTACGTTTTATGACTATTATTTGATGGCATATTCTCCTGATAATACAAAAGACTTTAGCAATGGGATTCTAATAAGCAATTTTGAAGCCCCCAAATCGTACCTCTCTTTCTTTCTGCTTCTTGTATCTTCCATGCACACATCATACCCACAAATACCACGGAAAATCGAACAGGAGAAATGGCTCTTAGCCATAATTGTTGCTGTGGATAATTTCCAGGGGATTTACATGGGTTTTCCAGGGTACACGTTCTCAAGCCCCCGGTTGTCTAGTGTTTTAATGTCAACCAGCAGTTTTCATCGCTCTCTTCTGTCGAATGCCAAATATCGCATACGAATACGAATGCGAATGCGCCCCAATACTTTCTTCTCAAACAAAACCCACAATATCACATCAGGGGGAGAGGCTGCAAGGCAGAAATAGTCATCAGAGTGAGTCGCCGGGTCTCAGCTTTGTCTCAACTTCAGCTCTTGGTACCCGCGGGAGAAATGTTATTCAAATGGCTTTCAAATGCCAGAGAAGTTTGCGGTTGTTTTTTTTTTTCTTTCTTTTTCAGCGATTGACAAATCAATTTGGCGATGGCTTTTGGGGGGATTTTGCATTTGAAGTTTCGAAGCAGCAACACCTGCTGCTGCTGCTGGTGGCTGGCATTTCTTATTCTTATTTTTCGGCCAGAAGACACCTTCTACCTAGGCAGAGGAAGGGGCAGGGGGCACGTCGATCAAAGCCATTCGAACACTTGGCAAATATATGCGCATTGCTAAGCAGCTGCTGGAGAAAGGGGAGCAAGCATCGAGAGCTGTGGATGAGGCAAAAGATGCGGCTGCAGCTAAAGATGAGGATGTGGCTGTTGGCAGGGGACAGGGGACAGGGGGGACAAGGGCACAGGGGGACCGTCGGCTTGGCGGAGGTGATGCTGCAAGGTAAATCGACGACAAGCTGGCGGCAGCGGCAGCAGCAGCAGCACTGCGTCTGCGTCTGCATAAATGCATGAAGATGAGGATGAGGTGGATGCCTCCATTCTGGTCGCATCTGCATTTTGTTGGCGGCTTAACTGCTGCGCCGCTGCCAATGGGCTTTTGGCCAAGTCATTGCCGCTCTTGCCGCTTGCTTGTTTGTGTGTTTGTTGTTGCACTGTGTGTGCCATTGTTGCTGTTGTCCAAACACAACTGAAGTGCTAAAAACATTCCAATGTCAGGTATTAGCAATTTAAGTTAACCCTCTCTTTCTGTCTGTCTGTCTCCCTCTGTTGCTCTGTCGCCTGTCGCTTGTTCTGTTCTGTGGCATCGATGCATCTGCGGCATTGTCGGCTTCTCTCTCTTTCTCCTGACGAGTCCACAAACACACAGACGCACAAAGTGCGAGCCGCAACAGAAAGAACATTTCCCATTTGATTGCAACAATGTAGATGCCCCATGCTTGGCCTGTCAATGGTGGCTCTTTCCACAAATTAGACACTTTGCTAATTTACTCGATTCACTCCGAACGTCATAAATCATATTCATAAAGGCGGCAGAAGGTTCTCTTATCACTTGGGTGTGGAAATGCATTGCATTACTTAGTCCCCGATGATTGACGTGGCATGCACATGCATTTACATTTAAATTTACATTTGCTCGTATCTTTTGCTCATTTGAATTATTCCTTACCTTACTCAAGCAGAAACATTGTGGGGGCTTAACGAAGTTCTTGCCCTTCAAA